CGGCCCAGTCACATCTTGCTCTTTGCGCAAAATATGAACACTGCAAAATTCTGTCAGCATGTAATACATGGGGAAGTGGGGGGCTTTGCCTTATTGCAGGAGTGCATAGGGGTGGGGTGCTATTGGTTAAACCACTTTCATTTTTTAAAATGCACACTCTGTGTTTAGGAGAGAAGTACAGAACTTCCAATAAATACATTTTAAAAGCAGAACAAGAAAGTTCATGTAATTGGTTGGGCACTGTTTTGGGGAAGGAATGTAACCCTCCTAGCATAAGACACTCTTCTGGAATAGCACCATTGTCATCTTAAAAAACAAAAACAAAACAAAATGGAAAATGTTTATATCAGAACTCTGTTTCCCCCTCAGAAATCCCATCACAGCCGCATAAATGCCAATCAAGCAAGGATCAGAAGCAGTAAAAGAGCATATAAAAGGAAAACAAATGTGCATTGATTGTGCAACAAGCTGATTGCGCAGAATGGAATTGATAGATACCGAACCAGCTCCTCTGAGGGCAGCATAGATTTTCGCACTGTCTGGAGAAAAAGCAAATTCCAAGTAAGGCTCCCATTCATTCCTAGAGCTCTTCTGAGAAATTTGCCTTGCAGCCTCTCTGACGCAAATCATGGCTTTCCTTACCCCTTGTTGAACCAGCGCAGCTTCCCTTGGGTAGTACCAGAAAGAAAGCTCTTTTTGTTCATTTCATTGAGCAGGACTATGCCATTGAACAATCCCCCCACCCTCCATTTCTTAATTGATGTCTCCTGCCTATGTGCTGTCTGGGCTCACCCCTGCTGTCTAACAAACTGCCCTGACATTAACCTCATGTTTTTATAAATGACAGACTTCCTCAATTCAGCAAAGCAGAGCAGCCTTTTGGAGTGAAAGGAAGCACATTAATCTCCACCATGTCAGAAAGAAATGTGCATTTTGCAATGGACGCACCGCCACATGTCTCTCAGACTTGGAAAAGGAGGAATTGATGAGCAGGCCTTGAAACAGTGTTGAGAAGAGGGTTGCTAGATTGCAGCTGGATGGGGCAGTGGAGATCTTGGGTTGCGTCTTCCACAGTCTTCAAAAATGGTAAGTATAATCATATAATCCAAACTTCCTTGGAGATGTGTGGGGAGTATATGTGTGCACACGTATTAACCCTTTCCCCACGCCAGTCTCCCGATCCAAGTTGGTCCACCCTTGAAACTGCCATTTGCTCTACAAGGCAAATGATAGAGGTTTCTGTTCCAGGCATCAGGGGAAGCAAGGGAGGGAGGAGAGATGGAGCAAGAGACTTTCAAATGACTGAGGGGGCTGGAGATGGAGAAGTGAAGGTCACAGGCAAAGATATTGTTACAGCGGTAGCATGATTCCAGGGGTCATGGCACTTAACCAAGGTTTGTGTTCCTTTGGAAGGAGGCACAGTGGAAGCAAGTGTCTTTGAGCAATATATTTTATTTTACACATACAACCTGAGCTTTGATGGAGGCAGTGCAGAATTTTACACCTCAAGCGTGTCTCTCATTGCTCCTCTCGTAGCTTCTGCAAGCTTGGGTCCAAAGCGGCTGCCGGCCATGCCTCCTGATCTCTTGGTGCAGCCTCCAGCACATATGGCCTTCTGGCACCTCCTTTCTCCTCCCCAAAAACCCTTGCTCAAAACCTCCGTTCAAAAGGGACACCTTTTTTCATTTGGGGACATCACTCCCTCTGTTACCTCGGCAACCTCCCCCTCCAGGCCACCATCATATTCTGCCTGGCTTATGCCTCCCATTATCTTTTTTTTTTTTTTAATGATATTTATTAAAGTTTCACAAAAATACAGAAAACAAAGAAAAAAGTATAAAATGCAGCAAAAAAGTAAAAAGTAAGAAAAAACATACAAAATAAAACAGTTAAAAACACAATAATGTTCCATAACCTATCTTCCTTACTCTTATTTCCCCAGACCTCCTCATACCTCCCTTCTTTGTATTCCAATTCAATTTGTTGGTTCAGCAAATCCTTACCATTAATCTTTTACCCAATTGTTAACCTTTTTTTCCATGTCTCTTAAAGCATTACAGCTAAAAGCCTCTTAATTTCTATCCAACATCCTTCTAAAGTTCCTTAATTTTACAATATTTCTGTAAATAGTCCTTAATTTTTTCCAGTCTTCTTTCACCGACTCTTCTCCCTGGTCTCGGATTCTGCCAGTCATTTCCGCCAATTCCATGTAGTCAGTCACCTTCATCTGCCATTCTTCCAAAGTGGGTAGATCTTGTGTCTTCCAATACTTTGCGATAAGTATTCTTGCTGCTGTTGTAGCATACATGAAAAAGGTTCTGTCCTTCTTTGGCACCAGTTGGCCGACAATGCCCAAGAGAAAGGCCTCTGGTTTCTTCAGAAAGGTATATTTAAATACCTTTTTCAGTTCATTATATATCATTTCCCAGAAAGTATGGCTCCCATTATCAAACAAACTGAGCTATTATAAGCCTTTTGTGTCTTCAATGACCCACCCCACAGTGCAGTGCAGTTCCATAGCTATGGGCGGGCTAACTGGGTTTTTGCCCTGGGTGAAGCCTCCAGAAAGGTGCCACTGAGGCTCCCAGTCTCTCTCTGTGTGTGGATGCAAATACGCATGGGGAGGTGCCAAACTGGGTCTTTGATCTGGGTGAAAGAAACCATTGTTTTGCCCCTGGTTTCACTCCTATCAGCAACTGGGCTGCAGCTCCTGCACTTTCTGGGCCCCATAGTGAGTTCATGGCAGGAATCCAGCCTTGAAGTAAGCAGTGCATGTTACCAGCCTTTCCTGGTCCAGCAATGTCTTCTATGGACAATTGCAAACACAAACACATGCCTCGACCCTTAGGTCTACCCTGGTGATGTACTTAGGACCCAGATAGGAACAGGTGACTTAGGTCAGACCCACCAGGTTCATCCATCCAAGTACTAGTAATATAGACCAGAGGGCACAGCGAAAATGCATTTAGACTCTGTATTAGTTGATCACATGGCCCTACCAAGCAAAATATAAAAACAAGTATGTGTCTGATGTTGTGAAAGCTGCTTACAGCAAGGATTGGAAATCCACAGTCGACTATTCATAGATTAGAACTATATAAAGATTTGTATTCCTGCAACATCTTAGAAGCAAGATACATTAATGGGCACGTGGGTGGCTAGGCAGATTGGTTACAAAAATTCTGAGTGATATAAACTACAGATGTCTGGCATGACTACATAGTCATTTTTGTTTATTCTGATTCTGGCACAAACCCTAAATGAATCAGTTAAGATTGATCTGTTAAGTTTATCTGTATGAAGAGCGGAGTATGACAAGGATATAGAAGACAAATCTGTCTTGCTGTCTCTACCAGGCCTTGTGAATTAGGCCCATCTTGCCCCAAACCTGATCCACAACTCATCTCTATGGTCTGTGTCTAAGGCATGCCCTTGAAAGCACAATGGGAATGTGTCTAATCAATAGATTCCTTCGGAGAGGGGTGTGGGAGCTGTACAAATGTGGCTACAGCCAACGTAGAAGAAGCTGGGTGGGCTTCAGAGCTGTTGAGCTGAAGCCCACTGAACTGCAGAGCTCGTCCCAGCAGCTGATGAACTTGGCATGATCCTACCAAAGTACATCTCACTATAAATTTGTCAAGCCTCCTTTGGTCCTGTAGGATTTGGTTGTCTCAGCAACTGATTAGTGCTTTCCTAAGGCAATAAGCTTCAAGGAAGGAAGCAACTTAGGCTGTGGGTAGGTAGAGAAGGGGGGGTGGATATTCCATTTCCCATGCTGTTTTTGGCTGCCTGGCAGAAAGGAATCAAAGTTCCTTTCCACCTCCACAACTACTACTATCTGTTGAAGGTGGACTTATGCCAGAGTATGGGGGACGGAGAGAGAGAGTACTTGTTTGCTTGTGTGCTAGCGTGTGCCAGTGTTGTGGTGTGGTGTGCATTGTGTATATGCACAAGTCTGGGAAATAATGCTCATGACCACCTATGCAGGAATCTGTATGTTCTAGAGAGTTGTATATAGTGGGTTGACCAATGAGTAGACCCATGACTTAAGTTAGTCATGGCCTTTCATTTCAATAGATCTACTCTAAGTACAAGGTAGTTTAATACAATCCAGCTTGCATATTGGGGGGAGGAGAGAGGTGAAGAAAGAAAGAAAGAAAGAAAGAAAGAAAGAAAGAAAGAAAGAAAGAACATGCTTACATGCATTTTCTAGGAAAACTCCCTACTTAATGCTTGCATTATGACCTTCAGGCTCTATACCTTCCATGTTCTTCACCTAGATCTCCAAGAGGAAGGGATGCAACAGAGAGCTGGAAGGAGAAAAGATTGAAAGCTGTTATGCATAAGGAGTTGCTGGTAGGTTATGAAGTTCACAAACCATCTAGGTTGGAGACTACCATGGTCTTAGCTAACTGGTCCTATACAACTAGAAATTCTTTGATAGGCATTTGACCATCTGCAGTGGAGTTTTCTAGGCAGAGAGCAGAGGAAATTTCTTGCATAAACACATACTTTTCATTTTAGGCTTTCATTTTCCCTTTGAAGAGAGTACCAGAAAAACAGCAGAAATGCCAGATACTGCAATAAAATGTCCAGAAAACACACACAAAATGCATTTCCCTTTAAATGTAATTGTTTGAACAAACACCAAAAAATGTTCATGCAAAGGTATTTCATTTTTTCTTTTTTAATGCAATAAACCAGATGCAAGAGCTAACATGAGCAGGAGGAGTAGAGGATGGAAAGGCTCATTCCTAAAAGAAATGATGTCCAGTAACAAGAAACAGCTGAAGATCTGCTCCCAGCCCTCCTCCTCCTCCTCCTCCTCCATTTGCCCTTTGGGTCAGTTCACATTTTTTTGAATCCTGATTGCCGAGAAATTGGAGGCTTGTGTTCCGCTCAAGGTCTGACTTGTTAATGGGAGGCCTGAGGCAGCGTGCATTGAAATATGAGGAACTGTATTACAAATGCCATCCTAGGAGTTCCACTAAAGTTTTAAGATTTGGGAGAGAGAGAGAGAGAGAGAGAGAGAGAGAGAGAGAGAGACCAGGGTTGGGGGAACACTTTCTGTGACCATATACAATAGCTGAACAGCTGCAAGGCAAAACCTCAGGGACTCCCCTGGTTTCTCCTTACTGAGAAAACATATGGAGCCTAGACACATGTGCTTCCCATGTGGAGGCTACATTTCATGCATGGTTTTTATGTGTCTAAGTGAGTGAAGTTTGGCTCAGGACCCTCTCTCTCTCTCTCTCTCTCTCTCTCTCTCTCTCTCTCTCTCTCTCTCTCATATAGGTGATTTGTTTCAAAGCCTACAGAAGACAGAAACTTCTTTGAACGTTACACTGAATGGCATGAGATGTGAGGAATTTGTTTTTGAATGTCATTCCCTGGATCTTTTAACACCAGGGATGTGTACACATTGCCAGGGTAAAATGCATCTTTTTCTCAATTTGGATTGAAGCGGGTTTGGGGAGAAATGCGCCAGAATGCAGTATTTCCAGGAAAGGACAGGATAGATATGGATTGTGGCTAAATTTGTACGTACACCACTTCCCAAACCAGTGATGAGAGAGCACTGGATGCCAGGTAAACAGGAGTGTGCACACAGCCTCTATGTTTTTGGAAATTCAACAAAGCACTCTGTGGCACATCTTCGATACATCTGTCGGCGTATTGGTGTATGTGACTGGATGCTCAAGTCAGCTAACTTTGGGGGAAATAATCATAACATTGCAACAGAACAGTTCTTACCCACAATTAACATGGAAAGATGTGTGTTATAGAATGAATATTCACACATGTGGAGGGACAGAATGAAGAGGAGTATTCATAGGAACAAAACACATCCTAATATTCAAAGCAAATGTACTAGCCATCCAGGGCAACAAGATGTCTAGCTTAGGTGGTGAGGGGCAAGGTGCATGGTACAGACAGCTCTCTTCTCCAGTACCTCACCACTGCCCCCAGCATCTTCCTCCTGAGGCAGCCACCTCACCCTGCCTAAAAATAGAGCTGGCCCTATATCTGTCCACCCACTGTTAAATATAGGTTGTCTTCTTCTTCTTTGGTGATCACTCATTCCCGAGTAAGATTGTGGTGTGCATGCACATGAAAGCTCATACCAATAACAAACTTAGTTGGTCTCTAAGGTGCTATTGGAAGGAATTCCCCCCCCCCCCCGACTATGGCAGACCAACACAGCTACCTACCTGTCTTCCATAAACATGGTTTTGACAGTGAGTCCATAAGTGACTGTGGAGGCCAATTCTGGACCCACACACCCTTCCACAGTGGGGACATAGGTTTCCAGGCAGGAGTTGATCATGGTGAGGGTTTGCCAAACGTGCCTTCCTCTTAGCACATTTCTCCCTTTCATCCTGAGTTTGAGTGTCTTCAAAGCCCATGACACCTTTGGTAAAGGCTGTTCTCCAACTGGAGCGCTCGCAGGCCAGTGCTTCCCAGTTGTTGGTGTTTATACTACATTTTTCTAGATTTGCCTTGAGAGAGTCTTTAAACCTCTTTTGTTGACCACTGGCATTACACTTTCCATTTTTAAGTTCAGAATAGAGTAGTTGTTTTGGAAGATGATAATCAGGCATCCAAACAACATGATCAGCCCAACGAAGTTTATGTTAAAGAATCATTGCTAAATACAGGTATACCCATATGGAGAGCTAATAATGGAGAAGACATCAAGCCCGCAAACCCACAGCAACTTAGCTGGGGGACTAAGTCCTATTGAACTTAGTGGGGCCTACATCTGATTAAGATTGCACAATAAAATCAACATAATAAGCCATTGCAGCAGAAAAGATGAGGCGGCACCAAGCAAGTCTCCCTGGAGTAAACATTCCACATGCAGAGCGCTGCCACTTAGGAAACCTGGTCCTCAGTTGCCCCTTCTTGCACTTCATCTGGAAAAGGGCCTTTATGTACTGCAGGCATGGGGGACACATTTCAGCCCAAAAGACACATTCCCCTCTGAGCAGAGATCCAAAGGCCACACGCCGGTGGCAAAAGTGGGCAGAGCAATGAATGTAAATGTTACCTTTGTGTGGGAATGTTCAGGGGTGCAGGAGAGGATATATTGTGAGATTATATCCTAATCCAACTTGTGCTAACAAGTTCCCAAAATATCAGCAGAGTTTATAGACATTCCCCTTTAAGTTCGCAACGGTAACGTGTGCACAGGTTCGCTAGAACCTCTATAATAATTACTCTGGTAATTTCCCCTTTTGTTCCCTCTTAAAATACAAGACACGACACAGTCTTTATAAAAGTATAAAAGAGTTTACTCACGTTCTGTTCACAATGTGATCCCAGAAGGCAGACAGCTTAAAAAAGGTAAATGTGCTGGTCCCGGGGGTAAGGTACCTTGGGTGTAGCAGAGTCCACACGAAGAGGGGCAAGGTCCGAGGCAGAGAGCCAGGCGGGGAACAGGAATGCTGGAACAGGAGGCTGTGCAGGGAACAGGAACACCGGATGGTCGGGAACAGGAGGCCGAGCAGGGAACAGGAGTACCGGATAGTCAGGAACAGGAAGCCGAGCAGGGATCAGGAACACAGGAAGGTCCAA